GCTCTGTCAAACTCGCTCAGATATAACGTATTTTCACTCCATGTTGTCACGCGGACAAAGCATGCCACGGCAAGTCCATGAAGATGCACTTCGCAAGTTCCTGCGATGGTTAGCAGCGTTTCCGCTGTTAGATCAAATCTTCCCGCTCGGAGATGGCAAGACCAATGAGGGGGAGAATGCCAGCCTGGTAGCCTATTGCGACAGCAATTGGGGCAGCGAGATGAGCGTAGCCCGGAAGAGCACCAGTGGCGGAGTGATCTACATCGCAGTGGACGGTCTGTGGTACTGCATAAAGGGGTACAGCCGCCTGCAGAGCGTCGTGGCACTCAGCTCAGCAGAGGCAGAGTTGTTTGCCATCGCCGAGGCAGCGAAAGAGGTGGCAGGACTTGCGCAATTGACGGCGCATATCTGGGGCACCCTCCAGAAACCCCACCGCGTGTACACTGACTCTGCCTCAGCTAGGCAAATTGCCAGCATGGAGGGGCTACTCAGGCGCATGCGGCATATAGACTTGAGGTTGTGCTTTATCCAAGACCGTGTCCATAGCGGCGAGTTGGCAGTAGAGGGAGTGGCCGGAACCGAGAATGTGAGCGATCTTCTCACAAAGAATTTAAATCGCCTCCAAACAGCAAAGCATACAGCAACCCTCGGACTAGAAGATGTGACCAGCATCGATTTCCGAGAGGTCCCGGCAGTCAGGTCTTGCTTGTTGCTGTCTGGAGTGCTAGATTCGATACTCGGGCCGGACAACCTCGAATATGAAGCTTTCTGTCGGCTATGCGAACTCGAGACTGAATATTCAACTTTGCTGATCGAGTTTTGCACGAGTTCACGTTCGAATCTGTACCTGCAAGGAAGTGTGCACCAAGTATTTGTCCTGCCGATTACTCAAGAGGTTGACGGAACCTCAAATGACACCGTGGAGCGGGTCATGTCTGCAATGAATGTTGCGAGAGAATGGGGGATGAAGGTTGTTTTCTGGAGCAGCACTCCTTGTACCGGAGGTAGCCCGTACCAACGGCGACACGAAGATCGGCCGGGCTATCAGGACCATCTACAAGCTTTATTCACGGTGCATCGCAAGCTCTGGCGGAGCTTCTTAGTGATGGTGAACCACCCGCAAGTAGGGGTATGGGTCATAGAATGGCCGCAGCGGTGTGCCTACTGGGGATGGGCAAGCACCCGTTCGTTTGCAAAGCAACGAACCCATTACACTGGCGAAGTGCACGGCTGTGTTTCAGGCTTGGTAGGCAGAGATGGATTACCTATCCGAAAGATTTGGAAACTGATGTCGAACGATGAACAGTTTGTGCGAACAATGTCCGAAACGTTTGCATGTACCTGCAAGGGAGATCATTCACGAAACTTTGATCTCAAGGAAACGCAGCATTATCCGCCAGCTTTCGCGGACGCCGCCCTGGAAAGCTTGCGACTGCGGTAATTTGAGCCCACCCGCCCGCCCTGGCTGACCCGCCCACCCGCCCAGCCAGGTTACTTTGCGAGAGTCAGTCGGTCCCTTAGGCCCCGTAGCTGTGCCACGAGTTTCAACGTCGCAGGTCGCTGACGCAGTCCTCACTCAGGACTGAATCTGCAGGGTGACCGAACAGATGCTGAGTGAGCAAGTTGAAGGAAGCTCTGCAACACCTGCCGAAAAGGTGTCCTTCTGCAAAGGTCAATGTACCCTTCAGCTTGGCAATTTCCACTCTGCTCAAACGCCCTGCCTCAAGCACTTCAATCACCTTCTGCAAAACGGCGACTCTCAGTGTTACACACGTTGACAGATTCTTTAAGGTCGAAGCTCACGCCCAAGGTTGTTTGTCATGGAGTTAGCCCTAGGCCCATGTTTGTCGTACTTCCAACCCAGAAGCTCTAGCAAAAGCTTCCCTCCGCATTGGACGCAAGTTCAGGCATACTCGCATTTAGCACGACACGATCAGGAAACAATGCTCGACAAAACCTTATGAAGGACACGACCGAGGCCCTCCCGCCGAATTGGCATTGCTGGAAGGACTGCGCCTTCCAAGTGGAAGGGTTGAAGGCACACACGTGTGCCCACCGCAGCGACTCATCAGCAATCGCAAGCTGCCTGTAAGCGCTTTTCAGGTCAAACGATCTCGCCAGCACAGCACTGGACTTGCCAGAACAGTCAGTTTGGCACGTTCATCTCAGTATTCGGCTTATGTGCAGCAAAGCGCTTGCACGCAAAGAAAGTCAGACTGCATTTGCGTTGGAAAGCTTGTTCAAAGACTTTGCGTTCAATGGGCTTGTGACAAGACAAAGAAGCATCACTGCAATCATCGCCAGGTTTCCACACAATTAAAAACAGATGTGAATGAATGATTCAAATCAAATCAGAACCAGAGCATAACCAAAGAGTGCAGGTCTACCATGGACGAGGCAATTGGGCTGCAAATGAAAAAAAGTGGTGCTTGGGGCCAAGCAGGTCGACTACTCTTTCGCACATGGATCTCTCCGTTCAATTCTCGGCCGTTACCCAGCAGTGCCGACTATCAGAAGGTCTGGGGCTCTGTGGAAGCTGGAAAACCAAGGGGAGGATGGGATCAAGCCATTCAAACCGGTGAAGTACCGAAAGCTAAGATACCAGAGGGTTATGTTTACCATTCGCTTTCCATGAACGGTTCTTGTGGGATCAGTCAAGAGCGGATCTTCTTTTCCAAAGTTTCTGGGCCTCAGTTTGCTGCGGAAGCATCGCAGAACAGGCAAGGCTTAAATTCGCAACTGCCCGGCTAAAACAGTTTGCAGATGTAAGGCAGGGCCAAATTTGCTGCCGCGTTCTCCTCTGCAGCTAAAGTTGCTGCAAGAGCAGCTGGCACAACCAAACTAGAGCCCAGCAGCCAGAAAC